ATGTACGGTCCAAGGCACTGGCGCATTAAGAGATGTTTGTCTCCAAGCTTCGATGTCCAAGGGAAAGTTCTCCGGTGGATCAAAGAGGCAGTGAAGCGTAATAAATTCGAGGGAGGCATCTAAAACGAACTGGCGGGGACTTTTCTAAGCTGCAAGAGAGAAACAGGAAGACTCAGCTAGGGGGAAAAAAGTAAAATAAAATCCAGAAGAAACTCGGTTGAGTTAACAAACCACAGCCTACAGCAGGTTTAAGAGTTTGGTAGAAGGAACGAGCCAAATTTGCCTTGGCCTTGCGACACTTCATGCCACACCGAATGTCTGGTTAACTGCAGAACTGGCACTGTAGAAAAAGTGCATCTGCAGCTATTTAAAAAAGATTATGTCTGATGTATTTAACCCACGCCTACTTTTGAGAAAATAAACCATGTCCTACATCGTACCTGGTGTGCCTCTTAATGGCGGCCAAAATGCACTTTGGTCTCCCTTGCGCAGCTCCGTTTGGCTGCAATTCAGCAAGTCTGGTACTTTGCCTTCCATCTGTCCCTTTTCTATTTTTGCACATGCTCCGCTCCAGCCTTCTCTGTTAAATAATACACCAGGTGTGCAGCTCAGCAGGAAGGGACAAACTCACACTGCAGGGAAGGGAGGAGGGCGAGCAAGCTCTGCTTCCTTTGTGCGGCTTTTTTTTTTTCTCCTCTTACTATTCTTAGAGCAAATTAATGGCTCTAAGCTGATCAACTGACAGAGGCTGCCAAGACCCAGTGGCTCCAAGGGAGAAAAAAAAAATCTATTTTTTTAAAACTCAGGACCAGAAAAACTTTTGAGTCAGCACACACCAAAATAAGCCACCCTAAGTAATGTGGGCGTAATGTGGGCTCTTGAAACAAAATTTGATCCAAAACGAAGTTTTCGTATCTTCCAGCTTTGTTTGAAAGCCACGACTTAAAACTTGATTGAAACTCTTTTTTTAAAAAAGCCGTTTGGCTATGTAGGTGAAGTACCAGCCATCGAAAATAGGTTGCTCCCTGAGAAATGCTACATGGTCAAAACATTTCCAATTCAGCGTTCGATCCCACGCTGGTACCGAATCGCACATTTTGCCAGCTATCGGTGTCTGCCATTGCAGTGGCATAATTTTTTTGAGAAGATTCGTGGATGTGGAGGTGGTGGTGGAAATGGACCAAAAATTACTGACTTGACAGATAGATAGATAGATAGATAGATAGATAGATAGATAGATAGATAGATAGAT